AAAAAAAAAAAAAAAAAAAAAAAAAAAAAAAAAAAAAAAAAAAAAAAAAAAAAAAAAAAAAAAAGAAAAATTAGCACTGACACAGAGGATCATTCAGCAACGAAATTTTTACTTCCTGGACTGCAGGAAGGGTACCCTCGCTAGCCATCCTGCCATGAGAGCACAATGAACAAAGGAAAAACAGACAAATTTATCCCTTACACATTTGGGGTCTTCCTTATCGCTGTGTCTGATCTCTGTTGGCTGGAGCGAAACCTCACAATTTAAACTAAAACCCGATTGGCTAACAACTTAAAACTTTTCTAAACAGGTAAAAGCAATGGAGAGCTGGCACAGGCCTGTGAGCACATCCAGCACAGATATCCTGGTTAAAGTACAAGGACATAGAATGTACTACGTGCCTGTAAGCATGGCGTGTCTAACAGCTACAAAGGATAGGGCTTAACAAAGCTATTAGCACGCTTACCCTTTAACAAGAAAGGAAACTTTAAAAAGGAACTTTTCTACTTCCCACAATTCCCTCCTCTTTTACTTTATAATTTTCCTTTTTAAACTTTTTAAATATGTTTTGGCTTAGTTGTTCTGCCTGAGTTTCTAAAAGAAAAAGCTTCTCTTTCTTTTTCTTTACACTGGGGGCTTGTCTGGGAACCCTTATACATTTGGGGTTGTCCTCACTGCTGTGTCTGATTTCTGTTGGCTGGAGCCAGACCTCACAATCTAATAATAATTTAGCAATCAAATAAAACTTGGCTCTACAGTTGTATTTTTCATTTGTACTGTGTGTTTGTGTAATATGTTCCAAAGTTGTTCTTCTCTGTCTTTTTAAAAAGAAGCTTAAACAATGAGACCTGTGGACAGTAGTAGGTGACAAATTTCATGGACTTAGTTTTTGGATCTTACTTGCTCTGGACTGATACTCTGTTAACAAAAATTAGTATAATAAGTCATTAGACTAACAAGATTTTTTTCTTTTTTTTTTTCTAGTCAGTCGCTGCTTATCCAGACTAAAAAGATTTCTAAATGGAAGTTAATAAAAAGATGAAGAGTTGAGAAATTTTTTGTCAGATTCACCTAAGTCCAATCCTTAGCACACCTAATTATACATATTTTTTCATGCATAGGTGTACACATCTATGGGTATTTTCTTGATGATACTACATGCCAAATCTATCATTAGATGTAGATATATTATATTAATTAATTAATTTTGTAGAGACAAGGTCTTACTCTTGCCCAGGCTGGAGTGCAGGGGTGCCATCAGAGCTCACTGCAGGCTTGAACTCCTGAGCTCAAGCGATCCTCTCGCCTCAGCTTCCCCAGTTGCTGGGACAAAAGGCATGCACCATCATGCTTGGCTAATTTTTTTTTTTTTTTTTTTTTTTTTTTTTTTTTTTTGTATTTTTAGTAGAGACAGGGTTTCATCATGTTGCCAAAGCTGGTCTTGAACTCCTGAGCCCAAATGATCCGCCTGCCTCGGCCTCCCAGGTGCTGGGATTCGAGCTCCACTTTATAGTATTACAGATAGATGGATACGTCTGTTTTTTTTCCAGCGCACATTCTTTTTGTATCGAGCCACTCGGGGCGGTGGGTGCGCACGGAGACCCCCTCCCCGCCGCCCCTCCCACTCCCGGGAAGGAAGAAAAGGGAACCAGAAGCCCCTACCCTCCCCGGAGGGCGGAGTCGGAGCGTGGCGGGGAGGAGTCAGTGCTTGGCGGGGCGGAGTCAGTGCTCGGCGAGGCGGAGTCAGCAATTGGTGGCGAGGAGTGGGAGCGCGGTGGGGCGGAGTCATTGCGCAGGGGGCGGAGACCGTGATTTGTGGGGGCGGAGTCGGGGGTCGGGGGCGGAGTCAGTGCGTGGCGGGGGCGGAGTCTCCGATGACTGGGCGAGGCCTCTCGCTAACGGTCGCGCGGCCGTCGCACCTGCACGCGTCTGTGTGCCGAGCGTCGTGTGGAAAAGCCGCGAAGCGCGGGCGACTGGGGGGTCGGGCGAGCCAGGTCCGCGAGGTCGCGGCTGCCGCTGTGCAGGGCCGGAAAGCAGTCGCCCTGGAGAGCCTCGGGTGAGCAGCGGCGTGGACGGCGCGGTGGCGGCGCCCGCCCGGCCTCCAGCTGTGAGGCGGCGTCCGTGGAGGGGAGCCCGCGCGGGGCCGGCCGGGGTCGGCTGACGGAGGCCCTGCGGGGCTCGGGGCGCGCGTGCGGGGAGCGGAGCGGGCCCAGCGGCGGAGCGTGTGGGGTCCGGGCCTGGCCGCGTCCTCGGCTCGCCGCGGGGCGCGGGGCGCGGGCCGTCCTGTCTCGCCGCCCTCCCGGCGTCTCCCGCGGCCTCCGCTGCTTGGCCCTGCCGGGGGCTCCTCGCGGCCGGCGCCGGAGGACACGCGGGAAAGCCCCTCGCGGAGCCGCGTTTTCCGAGCCTTTTCCTTGAAAAGGGCAGCGGTGGCTCTCGCCTGTCCTCCCGGCGCCACGGATCAGGAGGTCGAGAGTTCGAGACCCGCTTGGCCGACACAAACCCCGTGTCTACTAAAAATACAAAAAAGTTACCCGGGCGTGGCGGCGCGCGCCTGTCACCCCGCTGCTCGGGAGGCGGGACGGGAACGCGGGGCCGTCCTGGCCAACAGGGGGAAACCCCATCTCTACTAAAAATGATAATAATAATAAAAAATACAAAAACGAGCTGGGCGTGGGGTCGGGCGCCTGCAATCCGAGCTACTCGGGAGGCTGAGGAGGAGAGTCGCTTGAACCCGGGAGGAGGAGGTTGCAGTGAGCCACGGCCGTGCCGCTGCTCTCCAGCCTGAGCGAGTCTCAAAAAAAAAAAAAAAAAAGGGCCGGGCGCGGTGGCTCAAGCCTGTAATCCCAGCACTTTGGGAGGCCGAGGCGGGTGGATCACGAGGTCAAGAGATCGAGACCATCCTGGTCAACATGGTGAAACCCCGTCTCTACTAAAAATAGAAAAAATTAGCTGGGCATGGTGGCGCGTGCCTGTAATCCCAGCTACTCAGGAGGCTGAGGCAGGAGAATTGCCTGAACCCAGGAGGCGGAGGTTGCGGTGAGCCGAGATCGAGCCATTGCACTCCAGCCTGGGTAACAAGAGCGAAACTCCATCTCAAAAAAAAAAAAAAAAAAAAATCCACATGACTACAAACTAGTGGTACTACAGTCATATTTGGGCCGGACACAGTGGCTCACGCCCATAATCTCAACATTTTGGGAGGCTGAGGCGGGCAGATCACCTAAGGTTGGGAGTTCAAGACCAGCCTGACCAACATGGAGAAACCCTGTCTTTACTAAAAATACAAAATTAGCTGGGCTTGGTGGCATATACCTGTAATCCCAGCTACTCTGGAGACTGAGGCAGGAGAATCCCTTGAACCTGGGAGGCAAAGGTTGCAGTGAGCCGAGATTTCACCATTGCACTCCGGCCTGGGCAACAAGAGTGAAACTCCGTCTCAAAAACAAAAACAAAATCATATTTGACTAACTCCACAGGCTGCCTGAAACTTGGGTGATATAAGACACATCCTGGAGCTGTAGCCTGTGGAAGTGGGCATTCACAGAGAGGCCCTGGATTATTAAGTGAAGGCAAGTCAATCTGTTTGGTGTAGCTTACAATTTTTACTACAATAGAACCTCTTATAGTGATGATGTTGAGGGACAAACCACCATGTCATTCATCTGATAGGTAGTGAGTATTTTCAGTTATGGAATACCTACGTAAAAATATGTAAGATGCCACCTCTGCCCTCATGGAATTTACCATGTAGAGGTGTGTTTAAAACTAGCACCTTTTTTTTCACATAGTGTAACCAAATGCACAATTTGAGGTATTTACAGATTTTTGCTGTATTTTCGAGGTAAGCTTGAAGCTAATATATATTTAAATCCTTAAATGTCCCATTGAATCATCTTGTGTGTAAAACTCTAATTTTGGCCATGCTTGGTGGCTCAAGCCTGTAACCCAGCACTTTGGGGCGGGCGGATCACTTGAGATCAGGAGTTTGAGACCAGCCTGGCCAATATGGTGAAACCCTGTCTCTACTAAAAATACAAAAATTGTCCAAGGGTGGTGGCACATTCCTGTAATCTCAGCTATTTGGGAGGCTGAGGCAGAAGAATCGTTTGAGCTGGGGAGGCAGAGGTATAGTGAGCTGAAATTGTGCTACTGCACTCCAGCCTGGGGCACAGAGCGAGACTCATGTCTCAAAAAAAAAAAAAAAAAAAAAATTTAAAAGATAAAACTAAATTTACACCGTCCTCAAAAACTGCTAAATTGTACACGGTTTTAGAAAATGAAAGTTAAAAATGGAAACTTATAATAGCTATATAATTCAAAATTATAAGAGGACATTTTGAAAATGTTTTCTATAGGTTGAATATATGTTAATTCACATTTTACCATTATAGTAAAAATTTTCCAAAGAAGAAGTAAAATATCCAGTGCTTTCCTAAATAATATTTTATTTTATTTTTGAGACGGAATCTCTGTCACCCTGGCTGGAGTGCAGTGTCACAATCTTCGCTCACTGCAACCTCCACCTCCCAGGTTCTAGCAGTTTTCTCTGCCTCAGCCTCCTGAGTAGCTGGGATTATAGGTGTGAGCCACTGCACCTGGCTCTAAATAATATTTTAAACTTTTGGAATTTTTTATGGTTTATTTCATTTATTCAATTTATATATCTAAATTATATTTTCTAATATGCAGATAAAACAATGGCAAACTCCTTTGCATCAAGGACCCTCACTGCCCTTTCAGATCTGCAGCCAAATATGGCTAATCTGGTAAGTTTCAATGATATGCTGATTTGCTCACTAATGAAATTTTATATGATAACATTGCATCAACATTATTGATTCATTCAACACATGCTTTTACAATCAACAAGTATATAGATACTCCTTGCAGTGGTATAATTGTTAGATATTAAGTATACCTAAATTTCTTTGTATTTATGCTGCCTAGATGAAAATTAATCTTTGGATAGAGTAGGAGTTATGATTGTAGATGTGACTAGTAATTGTTCAAAATGATCGATAGATGTTTGTATTATTTTAATTAAATATTTAATAGCATTGTAAAATTAAAGAGGCTCATGCCTGTAATCCCAGCACTTTGGGAGGCCAAGGTGGGTGGATCACCTGAGGTTGGGAGTTCAAGACCAGCCTGGCCCACAGGGAGAAACCCCGTCTTTGCTAAAAATACAAAATTAGCCTGGCTTGGTGGCACATACCTATAATCCCAGCTATTCAGGAGACTGAGGCAGGAGAATCGCTTGAACCCAGTAGGAGGAGGTTGCTGTAAGCCAAGATCATGCTATTACACTCCAGCCTGGGCAACAAGAATGAAACTCCGTCCCCCGCCCCCAAAAACATCAAACCATTTTGTTCAGTAGCAGCAATTTTCTAACCAAATTATCTAAGTTATGGTCTAAATACTTGACATTATGCTGCTTTTATGATATAAGGTTTATAACTGGTATGTTTTCTGCAATTATTATGTGAAAATTGACTTTTTGAGGAGGAGTTATAGGGGAATTCAGTGATTTTTGAATACACTTCAACTGTTATTTATTAAAAAAAAAAAACCGTAAGGTGAAGAACTTATTGTAAAGCAACTACCATATACCCTCACCTTCCCTGCCCATGAGTAGTCTGCCATTTATATTTTGCTTTTGCAAGCTAGATTTCCTACAATGGGACACCTTTACATATAACTTTAATAATTTGTAATTTAAAATTTGTAAGTATTAACAAATGATAATTGGTGTTATAGTTTTTCTTGAAAAGTAAACTATTTGCTAATAATGATCTCTTCAGATAGAATTTTACTCAGCATTCCTGTTGGTTGGATTTTCCAACAAAATTCAGTGAGATTTGCATGTATAAGGAATTAAATAATATCAAAGCGTCTAAATAAGCAGTAAGGCTAGCTAATAGCTCACCTATAATACAGGCGTCTTAAAAGCCTGATTGTAATTTAAATATCACAGATTTTTGTAAGGTTGAAATCAGTTGCTGCAATTAGCAAAACAAGTTTAGTTTTTTCTTTCAGAAAAGATAATACTTTTTATTTCTTTTTT